GCCTACTGTAGGTAACCCTGCTTCGGCAGGAGGGTTGGACTAGATGACCCACAGAGGTCCCTTCCAACCCCTACTATTCTGTGATTCTGTGATTCATACTTTTCTTATTCATGCCTCTGGTAGGAAGAACTTTAAATATAAATATTTTTTGTTGTTGGGGTTTTGGTTTTGTTCTTTTCCAAAGACCTTATCTTTGAGCTACTGTTTCTGTAGGAAAAAACAGAAATTATGTTACTCACCTGAGTAGAGACCAGTGGTAGCTTAATATTGAAAGCTTATGGAAGAGCTTATGCTTTAACTGATTCTGTTGTTTTGCCCTTCAGTTAAATCTTGCAGTAGAAATGCGTTTTACTTTTTTTTTTTTTGTAGTAGAGGGTGTCAATTATCTTTTAAACTTAAGATACAAATTTTACAACTGTTTCCTTTCTTCCACTTGAAGTGACATTAAAACATCCGTGTTGACTTCCATTGTTTTTGATGTTATCTATTTTTTGGTTTATTTGTATAGGTTTTTTTAAAAGAAAAGGAGGAAAAAAAAGGGACACTAAAAGTAAACCTTACAAGACAGAATTTTGTGCCCAACGGACTGAGGATATCTCTTTAAAACAGAGATCTGTAGTATCTGTATTATGAGTAAAAATTCATACTTCCATCACTGTTCAAATTCTGGAAAGCAGAAAGACAATGAGAAGCCAAGATAGAAATCACTTAGACGTAAATTAATATGGCTTCTTATATCTGAATCTGTGTATTTTAGTATTTGTATAACTACATGTTTGCTTATATATTTGTGGTGTGAATCTTTCCATCCAAAAGTAAATTATGACATTGTAAATCCACTCCCAGACTGTAGTCATTAGTATGTTTGACACCCATGAAAAATCTCTGTAAATCTGTAGTAGGGAACTCTGTATTCCTACCATTTCAGAAGCTTATTAAAATTTTCAGTTTAACTGTATGTATAAAATGGGTACTTTATGGCTCAAATTCTAAATAATTTGTCATAGAAACAACTCAGTGTTTTGTTAAAGGTCTATTTATGTTGAAGTCAAAGGTACAATTTGGTTGTATTCCTGAAAGCAGATTATTTAGCTGGAGATCTGATTAACTCTGTTCTTGTTTCTATTTGACTCTTTTTGCAGATTACCTCAGGCATGGTGATAAGCACTTTTGTGTCTGCGCCTATTATGTATGTTTCCGCGTGGCTGCTGACCATTCCCTCTATGGACCCCAACCCACTGGCATCTGCACTCCAAAATGTTAGCTTTGATATAAGTATTGTCAGCCTCGTTTCTCTGGTAGGTGTTGGTGACGTGAAATACAAAAGCACACTGTTGTGCCAGGGTAGTGTTAGTACATAAGCAGCAAATCAAGTCATGATAAGATGAGACTTGCATTTCGTCTTTGTATCCTGTTGCGGAACGATGAGGAAGAAGTTAAAAATCTCGATTTAGCAATGGGTCAGCTGGAAAGTTGCGCTGTAGAGGAAGATGGGTAAGTGAATTAAAGCACCGGTGCAGTGCTTGAGAGCTTAGTATTTGGCTGCCTGATACATAAAATGTGTGTGCAGATGAGCTATCAGCTACTCGCCCTTAGTCCCTCTTTGTTTTTTAAAAAATAATGGGGTGCAAGGGAATACCTCACAGGGAATAATTGCATCAAACCATATGAGGTGCTTGGATATCGCAGTAATGGAGGCTATGTAAAAACTTCAGCTCCGGAAACAGCAGTGACTATTTCTTTAATGAAGTATTAATGACTGTTAGTGAAAATGTTTAACTTGGAAGTTTTAATTTAGCTTTATCAAGTTCCTTTCCTAGAAATTCTGGGTGCCCAGTTCTTAAAAAGGGGGTTGATATCTCAGAAGTCCAATGTAAATTGTGTTTTGGTTTTATAGGTACTACAGATAGTGTGTTTATTTTGTTTTCTTTTTTAAAATAAAAACATCCATGTTGGAGAAAGTTGGAATTTTCTTAAGTTGTTGTCTCCCTGAAGTCCTTTTGTCTTGAAACTGTGCTTCAAGGGAAGCCAGAAGTGAACGCTGCCTCTTGCTGTCACGAATAATCTGGAGAGATTCAGTAAGGACAGGGGGGAGGAGACCTTTTAAATTCTAAATTGCCAGGCTATTCTGTGGTCATTCGTGTCCTGAGGAACAGCCAGGCTTCTGTGCACCAGAGGCAAGCCTTTGGTACTCCTTGGAAATATTTCACTGTCATGAAAACACAAAGATACATTGCTTTTTCTGGACTTACATTCTGAGGCATAGGGACTGGCAGGAGATCGTGTGGAGCTGACTACAGGAGTCATGTTGCTAAGAAACTTGTCAAGAAGATTTGTTGTGTATTTAATTTCACCATAGGCTGCCAGAATACTCATCTTGTTCTTCTGGTTTGTGTTTTAGTCTCAAATTCCATTTTATCTTTTGTGTTCCAGATCTGGTCTCTTATTGTCGTTGTTCTAAGTAAGAAATACAAACAGCTTCCTCATATGATTACAACAAATCTACTTGTTGCTCAGGTCAGTAGTAAGAAGAATGGTGTTGGGGGTTTTTTTAAGTCTTATTTTTAACATTTGTACAAGTTTGGTTTCTATAGTTATATCTTTGTAGTCATCTAAGAAGGGCGGGGGAATCTAATGTGCAACTTGTCTAAACAATTTCTGTGTCTTAAAATACACCCTTGAAGAAAAGGAGAGTTTTTGCTGGTAGTACGGTTCTCAAACAGAACTATGAGCAATCAGAACAGAGAATGGCTTCTGAAGTGTATTTTTAGCACTATAAGTTACTGCCTAAGTGTAGAATGCACTTCCATGTCAGTTTATGCCAACCTGAAGTTCGCAACGCCAGGATCAGCAGCAGCGTGTGCTTGACTCTAGGGCGACCTGGTTCAAGGAGCTGAATAGGAAACTAATCCCCATGCTCCTTCTGCTCCCTGAAGTGGCTCTCTGAGGGATCAGACAGGTGCCAGTGCTGATGCAAGGGAGGGGTGTGGGAATGCATGGCTGGTGGCTAGGGAAGGGCAAAGCTAAATAGCTCTGAATTAATTTTAGTTGTTGTTTAAGCTGAGAGAAAGCTACAGAGTACCTGTTCCTTCTTCCCTTGAAGTAACTGCACAACTGCTGTTACATTCGGTGAGAGCAGCCTGTGCTTGCAATACATCTGTGCAGTAGTGCTTTCTAAAATGTTCTGTACTTAAAAAAAAAAAAGAGTAAACTCTCTGAGGTGTGATTGTGGAATCACATTTGAAAGAAGTCGTGTATGAGAGTAGCAGGTGCTTCTTACCTGTAACAGCAAAGTTAGCTTTCATTTTTAAAAAATGTTGAACTATTGTGTTACTGTTTTCATAATATGTCAGCCTATTTTTTTCAGATTCCTTCAGTACTAAAACTGTCATGTATGAGGTGTCACTGTGTGAAAACTTGTGTAATTCTTGGCTGAACAAACATCTGTTGATCTCAGCTTCATGTCCAAAGCATTTTAGATAAATGTTTTGTACTTAATAAAAGCTTTACGATCTACTTACAATAAGATATACAAAGATTATATATTTTTTCCTGACTTGACTTACTCCCAGTTTATCTCAGCTATATATTTGCCATCAAAAAACCCCCCTGAAAATAGGATACTCTAGTCAGTGACATAACTAATATTGAGCTTACTGCTGCACTGCTTTACTGCTGTGAGAACTATGCAATTCATAAAATTACACTCCAGTGGATCTGGGGGTGGAGTTTTGAAGCTTATTGTAGCAGTGTTACACTGTGTTCAGTTTTTCTTGTCATCCTGCTTTTGCAATTTAAATAATGGCATCTTACCTTTCTTTCCAGTGTGTTGCTTGCATTGGAATGGTGGTATGGAATTTCATTGTTAAAGAGAAAGACATCACCATGCAGATCCTAGTATTTATATTCCTGTACAGCTCGCTTTATAGCACCTACCTGTGGACAGGTATGATTTTTCTAGGCAGAACCTAGGTACTGTAATAGAAGCTTGATGTACTGAAATAATTTGCTTATATTCTTCAGAGTAATTGTTCCTTTCCTTTGTGTGCAGTCCTGCAGATGTGCATACTTGTAGACTGTGCCAAGCTGCAGCGCTGGCGATACCGGGCTGAATGTGTCAGGCACTGCTTCTGCTATCGGAAGCTTGTACCTAGGGCAGGTCTTGTTTGTTGTTGCTAGGTACAGCATCCTTGCTAGCTTGCAACGAAAGACAAGAACACGCTCTCAAGGCAGAAGCAATTACAAGAAGAGTGAATGTGGTGGTTGCCCTTCAGCTAGTCAAAAGCTTGTTGGCCATTTTTACTTATTGTAGAATTTAAGATTTCCAGTTATTCAGCATTAAGAAGATTTAAAAACCTTGTGCCTCAGAGAAGTAGGAAGTACAGAATGAAGGGAAATACCAAGGCAGCTTTAACATTTATTTCCCCTGACAATTGCAATTTCTAAAAACAATGCATGTGTTCTGCAGGTGTAGAATATTAATAAAGGGATTACTTGCAGTAGGCAGAGTTGAAAGATGGATCAAGAAACTGGGATACCCTTACATGGATTATAAAAAAAGAGACTTTGGATTATTCGGGAGACTGTGTATACTGTTCTTGAGTCCAGAAGTTTAAGGGTTTAATTCCTGTGGTGTTTTTGTGGAGTAAGTTGTGTTTAGCTGAAATAGGTAGCTCATGATTAGTGTAGCCTAAAATCAATACTAGCTTTGCTTCAGCATGGGAAATGTTGCTGAGCTTCTGAGTTTTGAATAGAATAGGCACTCCCAGAAGATACTCCCATATATAGTTAAATATGTAAAAATATGTGAAACTTTTTTTGTGAAATTTAGCATTGACTTTACAAAGGACTAGTCAGTTTTTAAAGAAATGTCATAACAGAATGCAACATTATTTGTAGGTTACTTAAGACTAGATCAATTACTGTTGAGACCTTTTAGGATATCTTTTAAACACTTGTAAGCCTTCATAAGAATTTAGAAGTGTGTATGTAATATAAAGTGTGCAGAAATTTTTTCAGTGCTTCGTTATTAATACTGATTTTTTAAGACAATAGGTGTTTGTATTTTACTTTCTCAGAATACAACTAGAAAAAGAGTTTTGAACTATTTGAAGGTCTGAAAAGAATACCTTAGTTATTGTACAGGTCACGTCACAGAGTGTTTAGATTCTGTAACTGTCAGTTCCATTCTTAATAATAAACATGACACTTCTTTTGCTTTTGTGTTTTTTTGTAGGTTTTCTATCTTTCTCTTTGTTTCTGTTGAGGAAGAGAGAATCAGTAAAGATTCCCATTGGGTTTATTGTCATAGCTGGATGGGGGTAAGTTAATTCAGATGTTTCCCTTTAGAATTAGTGGGAACATGCTGAATATGTTACTTTGTATTTTGCTCTTTCAGAGTACCAACACTTCTGGTGGGAATCTTGCTAATTGTTGGTGAACGTAACAGCACTAGTATTGACTCTGCCTTTTTTTATGGAAAATACCAGGTATGAACATGTTCTGTCCTCATAACTTCAGAGTTCTGCCATGTCCATTACATTATTGAGAAATTGTGTTCTCTGTTTGCTTCTTATATAAGTAGCTTATAGATTGATACCAAAATGTATTTCTGTAATGAACCATTAGGAAATCTTGTTTGAACAAGGACTTTCACGTTTAGGCAACCATGACTAAGAAAAAAAGGGAGTAGGCTTCCCAAAAAAAAAGGCTTATGAGTGGTAATGAATTGCAGAGCCCTTTTCCTGGTGACTAATTTGTAGTCTTACTTGATAATTATCTATAATTGTTACTATCCAGTAGCTAATTAATGGCTTTTGGTCTGTAATAGATAGGATCTATATTACCTGTGTAGCAGTAACTGCTTGTACTATGAGAGACTTCGCTGCACAATCATAGGTTGAAAGCCTCTGAGCCTGAACTACCGTTTTTACCAATAATGAGTTCCTCTTCTCAGAGGGTGTAAAGTGCACAAGCATAGATATTTGTCATGTTTTCCCTCTGTCTTTCTGGTGGATAGAGAGTCTGCGAGTGTGAAAGTGCCACATGAATAACCCTGACACAAGTATTAAATAGCCTCAGAGTGGACTCTGGGTATCAGTGGCAGATGATTAGAAGGAAAGGTTAATTAATACGATGCTCCCCATTGGCGAAAGCATGGAAATTAGAGCTGTGTCAGAGGATGACAAGAGCACATTCCTCTTTGGAATTAGAAGGTACCTGAAGAGAACTTGAACTGGAGCACCTAGTGATCCAGAGGGGAAAGGTGATGATGAGGGGATGTTTTTGGATTGCATGGTAGTTACTCTCGTGTACTGATTGCTCTTTCAGTACCACAAGATGGTAGTAAATACAAAAAACTCTGTCTTATTCAGATGCATTTGTTAGTACATTTAGAAAAGTACAGAAGTTAGAAAGACAAATGTATGCAACTATTTTCCTTTATTTTTTATTTAGGTGTATTTTCTTTGCTTTCTTAACAGATAATTACTACAGCAGTGATCCTGTTCATCAGTATATTGATGTCAGGTGTCTCACTTATGTGCATGAACAGAAATAGGCAAGAGTCAAGCTATGAGGTATTGAACCCATATTCACCACGTACCCAAGTGGGAGAGGTTGAAGTGGAAGGGAGCGAGGGGAATCGAGTTTCAGCCACTGTGCTTCAGCCTTCCACGAGTTCTTCTGTACAGCCTTCTCCAGAATCTTCTGCACAGCCATCTGAAGAAAGAGGTAGAGAAAGTAGATTTGTAAAAGAGTAAATGGCTCGGGATACAATAAAATAATGTTGCAGATTTAATTCTGACCTGGGAAGGACAGTTGTTTACACCTTAAAGTGTTACACTAGGACAGAAGAAAATCTAGATATAACTGCCCAAGGATTTAGGTTTATGTTTCTGGGGGAAGTTTGATGGTTATCACTGTAAGGGTGGGGGAAGTGGACAGGAAAAAAAGCATGTGTATTTTTTTCATGTAAGTAGTGTTATCTTGATAAGGATGTGATAAACGCAGTCCACTAGGCATCTTAGATTGTTTACCCACTAAACCGTCTCTCTGAGAATAAATTATATGCCAGCAGCATTGCTGCTCAATATGTTTCTAATCCTCCTTGTTTGTATATAACCTTTTAGATCACTTCCTTCTAGCTAAAAGTACTTGTGTTGCTTCTATGGTGGTAGTGCTATGTTGAGTATTTCTGTATATTTGTAGTGTAACCCATTTACCCTGTCAGCACATTGGAAAAAGTAAGTCTGCTTTCTTCTTTTGGATTATTTTTGAGCATAGTAGTTAAAACTGTGTAGAATGTATTGTTATACTTGAAAAAATTAATTATGGTAACGAAGAAAGCTAACTATCCTATTACTGTATATGCTTAATAGGTTGCTGTTCTTGTCAAACAACAAATGGTGAATTATCCTGTGCTAGAGAGAGCAAAGCAGTGTCAAATGCTATCGAAAGCAAGGTTCCTCCAATTGAGACAGGTAAAGCAGTAGTGTTTCCTTCTTTTATTACTACAGACTGTTCCACAACATCTCTGTGTGTTATCCTCAAACGGTTTGGGCTGCTGTTCTCTCAGCTCTACCAGGATAACTTATATTTCATATTAAATTCAAGTATTAAGCAATATGTTAGGTTTTTGCTCTTTTCTGCATGATAGTTATTAGTAATCTTTCAGTGCTTAAGATACACTGTTGTTTAGGGTTGGGTTTTTTTCACTGCTAAGCTACTTTAACGTGTCTGTCTGAGCATTCAGACTTTACATCATTGTCCTGTTTGGACACTAGGACATTGAATGCATAACCCTGCTTTGCCTCAAGTTTTCAACTTAAATGCTTTTTTACGTTCTTATGTTCACATCTTCTGTCTTCTAAAAAGGCCTTTGAAGCCTTTTTTGTAAGGCTGTCATGCACAGGTTTTGAGAGACCTGAATGAGATCTAGAGAAGCAAGCACTTACTGTAGATTTAATCAAATGTCTGTGCTGCTGTACTATTCATGTCTAGGGAGAAAGATGGAGAAAATTGAGTAAGGGGGCCTGAGGAGTCCCTGAAATAGAAAAAATGGATCAAAGTGACTGTTCAGCACCTGACAGAAAACTGCACGCTCAGCCTAGTCTTCTTGCACGTCACTTTCAATAATCAAAGCTAGATGAAGCGCAACCTTTGTCTTTTTCTTATTTTCTTTTTCTTGTTTTTTTGCATCCTTAACAAGGAAGTTCATATCCTTATGCTTTGTTTGGATGCAGCTTAACTTTCAACAAATCAAAAAATTTCACACTGAACCATACTTAGCATTTTGTGAGAGGAGATGTAATTAGCTTTCCACCTATTGCCAACTATTTTATCTGTGAAGTAATTCAGACAAGCATCATAAGAATGTCTTCCAATAATAGAGGAAGGCCAGTTTCATTTTCTTATCCTAAAAGATAAGGTAGAAAATACCTTGTGATGGAGTGGAAATTTTTTCGACCTACTGAGTGAACACCTCCAAACTATAAATCAGTAAAAGCAATTGTAATGGGTACTCTTGTGTAACTTTGGCTGCAATAATTACTAATCCTTCTACTATCCCATTGAACTGCTATGAGGAGGTATCTGGTGCAAATTCTTTGGTATGTCCTTGCCAGGAAGTTTTTCACTGCCATCTAGAGGAAGATACTCAGAATTCCTTAGGACTCTGTAGCTGGAAGATCTTTCCTGTGTGTTTGGCTCTTTTGATTGATAGTATTATGACAGTGTTCTGATATGCTACGTTAAAAATACAGTAACAGAACTGAAATAAATATGGTTGATTGTCTGATCTAGAGCTCAGCAATGCTGAGATACAGCATAAAAACACTAGAGCTGACGGTATATTTGATATATTTATTTCAGAAACTAATTCTAAGCTCAAAAACTTTTCTGAGGAAAGGCTATTTTTTTGTTATTTCTAGTAGTGTTTTGTAAATGTTAACCACAACTTCAGTATGCATTAAACCTTTTTAAAGAGAGTTCTGTTGTAAAAAGTTGCGTCATTCTAGGAGCACATACAAACTACTGTTTCATTTGAGAATAGATGCCTGAACAGGTTGTTGTCAAAGCTAATACTAAATTTTGTGTGTGTAACTTCAGATACTTACCAGGTAGTTTAACTCAGCAAGTTACATTAACAAGTTTGCTCATGGAGTTTGTAAGTTAGAAGCCTAATGAAAAATTCTGGTTTGATTTTCAGCTGATCAGTGTGCGAGTCATTGCAGTGCTCAGACCTGCGTATTGGCTCAGGAAGAACAGCTTCTACAGACCGGAGACAAGCAGCTGGCCAGACATGTGCTGCTGTGCTTACTTCTTGTTGTTGGCCTGTTCGCTGTAAATATTTTTTCTCCCCATGTTGTTTAACTCATTGAGGTGGAATGATTTTTAGGAAAGCTATGCAGACAGTCCAGTAACAATCTTTGAATTACTCATGTAACAATTCATTAAATAAATTAGAATCTTTATTTTGGTCCCTTACTGGAAGAGGAGTGTCATAAAATTGATTTTTCTTGCCACACCATAAACTAAAGTCAGGTTTAAGATTGATAACTAGATCCCAGCTGTGAAGGTGGCTGCTCCTGTGTATAAGTGTGAAATACCAGAATGTAATGCATTAGGGATATAATTCGAATTTTTAACTGTGACAAAGATGAGAAACAACTCTCGGTTTTAATGTAATGCTCAGAGTTGAGCTTGTGACAGTTGGGGGTGGGAGTATTTTTATATGAAATGGAAAATACTGTGGCACAAATATATAATACTGCAAAGCAGGACAGTGGGGCACAACTATGTAGTGTAATAGCTACTACTGTTCCTTTGCAGCAACAGTACAAATTACTGTTAAATTACAAAATGGAGGTTCCCCCCCTCTCAAATTTTCTGCACCAAATATTCCATGCTAATATGTTTTTCTTACATCATCTTTATTTAAAAGGTGTTCCAAATGTTAGCCTCTAATTTAGTTGTATCTGAATAATTACATACATACCGTTATATGAGACCGGTTAGATTCAAGAATTAGCCTTTACACCCAAAGGGATTAACTTTGGAGATTTTTTCCTGCTGTCAGGCATCTGAAATAGCTGAAGTGGTATGTGCTTCAGCTTAACGCAATCTTAACTATGCAGGAAATGTGTAGAAAGCACTAGTCTCAGCTAAACAGACCTAAAGACAAATACTGCAATCTATCTGCGCTGATATTGTCTGTGTAAAGTTGAATACCTAAGTATGCTTAAGGCAAGTTCCTTATGTAAAGGAGCAGGAGCTCTACACTGGTATGTTTTGAATTATTCTGTTTAAAAACAAAGAAGCTTCCCCCCCACCCCCGCCACTATTAAGCCTAGCTAAAATGACGTTTTAAGGTGTTTATTCCCTCTTATTTGTCTTTATCCTGAATCATTTGTTAACTAAAGATAGTTAAAATTGTGCAAGAATCTATTAGCATATGAAGAATAAGAAAGTGCTTTTGATTTTTAACAGTCAGGTTAGGTTTGTGGGTTTTGTTGTTGTTTGTTTTTTTTTCTTAACAGAATCTTTCCAGTTGTTTGTGGTGGCTGTTCAACCAACAGCCTGGAAGGCTATATGTGGAATTGCAGTTCTTCTGTGCTGTGTTCAATTTTGGTCAGGTACTTACCAATGTTGTTCTGAAAATGACTTTGTTAGTGGGTGCTGCAGCAGATGCTGTTACAAGCACTGTAGTTCGAAGTCCTCAAACAATGCTGAAGTCACCAGCTCCTTGTCTTGTTTTGCCTTTTTTTCTCAAGCTTATTCTTTTGCTTTGATAGCTTTCTTGTTACAATGCATGTCTTTTATGTGCACAAAGGTACAAATGACAACTGAATGCCAAATGCCTATGGAAATTGAGTAGGATTTTAGCCTTATTTGTACCAGAAAGCTTCACCGGTTTTGCTGCTGTGGCATTACACCAGTATAACTAAATAGGTGCAAGATGGCTACATGGATATTTTCACTATAAGGCTTTAAGTTTCAGTTATGGCACCGTTAACTGATAGCTAACAGCTGTATAATGGTTCCAGCTGCACGTAGCCTGTTTCAGTGCAAATGGCACGAGGCAGGTTTATTACCTGTGAGAGTGAAAGCAAGGCAGCGTTAGTACGCGTACTAGAGGAATGTTTTACAGATCCATGCACAGGTGTGCCTACAAGATGCACTGCAGTATCAAGTAACGATAGTAGTTTTGATGCAAAAGCGGCACAGAAAAATGAATTAACTAGAGGGCATTCTAGTTCAAACTACAGTAAATCAGTTCTTTTCCTGACAATATAAAGACAGATTTAAATAGCTGGCTATGTAAGAATAGTGTCTTTTGAGTGTCAGGTGACACGTCACAGCATTATGTTTACCAAACTCTTTCTCAAAGAGTTTCTTTGATGGACTGTTATGTATGAATCTGTCTTTTTAAGGGCCAAATGAAAAAGCAGAAACAAAATGCATTTTGAATGATATCTAGAGAAGAGGGATACTTTTCATGTGTGTTTTGCAATCAGTTTTTAACATTTTATTTCTGTTCTTTAGGAACCAAAGTTTTTGCTTAATGTTGCTTTTTCTGTATTTTTTTTTTCCAGGGCTTCATTTGCTTTGGTATTTTTGGCTTAGATAAGCATTTAATCATTCTGCCATTCAAGCGAAGGTAAGCAGAATCTTTACACTTACACCTGTAAACTTAATTGTTAATTATAATTTTTAAAGGGTATAGAGTGTTCAGTGTCATTGAATTCCATTTCATACTTGTTCGATCTTCCAAATTTCTTCTTTCTCCCAGTTGTGGAGAACTAATTGCCGTTTACTGTGCATGAGTCTTTACTGCTGTGATAGTGACACTCCTGAAGACAAAAATCCCACAGGCTCCCTAGAGACAAAATCTTTGGCAAATGATGGTGAAGTATGTGATTGGATCAGTGGGACGATGGATCTTCAGAAATAACTTCAGCTGGTAAATTAAAACTTAGATGTGAATGCTGAACCAGATTCTGTCATCGCTGTTTTAAAGTCCCGTATTCATAACCTCATGCAAAGTGCATGAGGTTATGCAGTACAGGATGGACACTTTCACTGTGGAGGCGTAAGTCGTACAATGCCATCTTTAGCTTAGAGCTGGCTGGCTGTGGTGTGAACACAGCAGCTAAAGCTGACTCCCAACTTCTTCTGTCTTTCCTTCTGCCTGAGCCTAGAATAAAACCTCTCGGTGTTCAAAGGCCGTACAAGTAGATGAGGAAGATTGTATATAAAGTATTGGGCACAAAACCAGTAAAACAGTTGTAGTAAGCTTCCTATGGCTTCCCTTCTGTTATTTGCAGTTTCCTTAAAAATGCCTCTGGTTGATTTGCTGGTTTTCATTTATTTAGTTTTTTGTTTTTTTCTTTTTCCCTTTTTTTAAGACTTGAATTTTTCTGGGGAGGAAGAAAAGCAGCAGGGCATACAGATCCCTCTGTACCTGAGGAAATCAGGATGACCTGTCAACAGTTTGTTCGTTATCACAGAGATCACTGTGTCAAAAGTATTGTCAGAGGCAGAAGGTAAGGGTCCTTCGTGCATATATAACCTGTTACAAAGGTCATAACTCAGCGTTTGGAAATAATGAAATGCAGTTTAATCTGTCTGTGGGCAATTCCTATTGTGGCATGTTTATTCAAGCCTCAAGGTGATGATTAAGAATTGAGCAGTAGCAGAGAAATGTTCCTAGTCTCACACTGAAACATTGAGGTTATGCAAGTTATTGCATTATCTCATCTAGGTTTTATAAAGATTATAAAAAGTTTTATATCATTAGGGGATTGCCGCAGTTTTTGCATTTAGCTGGAGTTCAGGAGAGAAAATCTTTCTGAAGAAATGTATGTGATAATGCCTGTAATAGGGTGTGTGTGTCTGTGAGTTTTGTCAAACTTAAGACCCTTCATTTGTTTTGTTTTGAGATTAAGCAGGTGTCAGTATTTATGTGACAATATTTACTAATAAAAAGCTTTTTACAGGAGGTGAAACTGTTGCAACCTATGTCAGTGTACTCAGATGCCACTTGTGACATGATATTTTAGTGGTTTTAGGTCCTTTACACCTTTTGAGTTCATACAATTTCTTTTGCTCGTTCCTCTCGTGAGGCCTAAACATCAATTTATGCCATCAGCAAAGCTTTCAGAGGCAAATTGTGATACCCAAATCAAGGATTATGTATTCAGGAATGTGTAGGTGGACAGAAGCAGCAGGAACAAGAAAGACATTCTGCCTTTATTTACATATTTTCTATATGAAATGGAGACCTGAAGAATTGTTCTAACAGCACACTTCTCCTGTCATGTAAGCTTTTAAGTAGGACTATTTTGGCAGGATGGGGTGGTCTTTTAATGGCCAATAGTCGAAACCACGTTCCAGAACTGTTTTATACAGCGTCATGATTTTGTTCAGTTTCCTCAGAAGTCAGTAATGTTCCATAAGAAATAAAGTTATCCATTTAGGAAAAAAGTAACTATGGCAGTTCAAGGACTTGCTTCTTTCATGCCAGACAGAAAAGATATATCAGAAAACGTTTGTTGTGAAGTAGGACAGGTTTTACAGCTGTGTTTCCTGTGCCTCTGCTGCTAATGTGTTTCTTGGGCTTTGGGCTGTTCATTTGGTTGGGTTTTGTGTTTTTTATTAATCATATATCCACCTGAGAATACATAAAAATCTGACATTTGTTGCTCCATTGTGTTAATACTATGTTTGTGCAAAACTAGTTTCATGTCTGATTTCTCCTTGTGAGTTATAAGAAAGCATTTATCTTCTCATTTTAAATATTCGTCTAACTTGATCCTATCCTCTTTGATTTAAACGTACTGTAGCTGAGACCTTGTAATCATGGACTTTTATTTATTTTAGTTTTTGCTTCTCTGCTAATAGATGTTAACACTTGCTCTGTGTTAACCCTTAAAAAAATAGAGAAATAAGTTTGGTTTTTGCTGTCTTCTGTAGCTGTTAATCATCTTCAGAAACCCTGCGCTTGGGTTCTGTAGAGCAGATTTTTAGGTAACCGGAAACATTCATTGCTTCAGGTAAATTTCTGAATGGCATTTTTATTGCAACTAGGTAGATGTTAGTGGCATTGCCTCATAAATATGTGAAAGAAAATTAGTTTAGTCTTGTTGTGAAGGTTTTGTTTATTCTTAGTACTGCCTATGTGGTAAATATTTAACTGGATATGCAAGTTAAATGGCTTTTGTTTACAATATATGTAAGCAGTTAGTGTCTGTTGAAGACTGTAGAGAAATTATAAAATGGAATTAAAGTGCAGATTGAGTCAGTGTTGCTGCTGGCATGTTGCACTCAAATCAGATATTTTGTTGCAGAAATAGTCATGCTAATAAGTACATGAGAAGTAAGTATCCAAGAAATAGAATTACATTGTGTGTAGTTTTAGGAAAGTTGCTACTTACATTCACTGAAGTTTATTTGCCCAAGCCTAAAATAACTTCATTTGTACATTTTGCTTCTCCTTGAAGTGTCTGTAGGAAAAGGTAGTAAATAGTGGCATGTCCCTAGTATACAAAACTTGCAAATGCTCTTCTAACATGCTCTTAACTATCGTGATGTCTTTCCTTGTTTCCTGCTATTTTTCCTTGCCTTTCCCCATCGTGCAGTGGTGATACCAGATTTACAGAACATGTGGGTGAATCATTCCTTTGACATACAGGTGTGGTGCAAAGATCTCCACTGGCATCTTCTTTGGCTGTGACCTGGTGAACTGGCTCATGCAAGTTGGCCTTGCCTCTGACCGTGGTGAAGCTGTGATGTATGGAGACAGACTGATGAAAGGAGGCGTCGTCCAGCACATTACGAATGAATTTGAATTTCGGGATGAATATTTGTATTACCGCTTTATTCCTAAGAGATCAGTTGCAGTTGAGAGCAATTGACCTGAGCACGTAGGCAGAGGACAGGCAGTTAGGGGTGAACGTGACCCCCTCTTCTGCCTTCACCACTGCAACTGGAAGTATTTCTTCCTCAGGGCTCTCAGAGAATTGTGTTATTCTCTCTTGTAAAGTTAAGAGATGTGGTTCTACTTGTGGTAGCAAGTGATACTTTGTGAGCGTTCCAACCAGAATGCAACTAGAACAAAACAAAATGCTCTGGATTTAGAGGATTTTTTTCCGTTTTGAGCAAAACAAATAGTAAAATAATCTGTGTCACTGTCATATTATAGAGGCATTATAACAGCAGCTTTAGTGACTGGTGCCACAATTAAAAACAAAACAAAACAAAACATGAATGACAGGTATTTTTCATGTTGCTGTATGTTTTCCATATGTTAGTGTGATGAAATACTGATTTCTGTTTACAGTCAGGCTTCCCCCTGACTTCATAGAAGTAGGATTTCTTCTATTATACCCCAGTTTTTACTACTCTGCTCTTGTCTAACACCAGGAACAATTTCTAGCTGATTACACCTCAGATCAGGTGGTTTGTTTCTCCCTTAAATATACAATCCTCCAATTTGTAAAAGCAGAATTGTTGTGAAGACTATTCCGATGTCAGGGGATTAAAGCTGAGAAAACACTGAGCGGAATAAATAATAGTTTTGTACAAACTTACCAAGTCTTAAAAACATAAAAAATACCCACTGCTCCCCCAAATTAGGAAATTATATAATGGAATTTTGTATAAACAATTGGTTCTGAAGCTTTGCCTCATGGTGGTAGTAACAGCTTTGTCAAGAGTACGTTTTTACCTTCTGAAATTAGCCTTTTCAGTTGAACTCAGAAGTGCTAGCCTCAAATAAAGATGTTATGGAAGCCTTGGATACTTGTGTGAGTCAAGATGAAAAATTGTATCAAATCATAAAACCTTTTAAATGAAATAAATGACTCTTAAATCTATTATATAAAGAATCCTAACTGAACATCCAAGTTAGGGTTTAGAGTAGCTAAGGGTCCTAAACTTTTGGTATTGGTTACCTAACACAGGTATCTAATAAGCCTCAGGTATGCTCCTGTGATGTTTAAATAGTTCCTCTGGTGTCATTCAGATTCCTGTGCACTGAAGGCAGAATCTAAGAATCTGTGTGTCCTCTGCAGTGTTTTGAAAAGGTTAAAGACAAACCATAGTATCTGATAGGCATTATGCTGCCCTTTCAAAACTGCAAGAAGAGCATTTATATGTCTATATAAAAAATTTTATATAGTGAGGGAAAGGATCCCAGGTATTAAAAAAAAAAAAAAAATTGGCTTAAGTATATGAATAACTCTTCTCATCCTTTTTTTAAAAGGTCTTTCCCTTCTTTTTTCTTTTTTTTAGTGCACAGATTTTTATTGTAGCTACTTATGTGTCTACTTTGTATCAAGATTAAAACTGATTTTAGCAGCATAAACTACTGTTCAAGAAACAGTTGTTTTATGGTAGCTATAACTCCATGCAAGACTTATACTGGAAAAATAATTCCTTTTACTGTCAGTCTTATTGCACTTCTGCATTGTGCACAGAAACATAACTGCATCCTACTGCATATGTATGCTATACAAACTGACATATTTTAATGTTTTCCAGCAACAAAATAATTGACATTTTGTATCGGGCTGTGGCCACAAAGGAAAACAATAGCGTGTTTCCATTACAACTGCTGAAGACGGCTGCATCAAATATTTTGGAATAATTAGATATATGTGACTGAAAAGCAGAAGCCATGAGTATGTCTGGCTTCTAAATACTGTTACATGTCAATAAATCTGTTACTTGATTTCAGAGTTCTGGGCTTTGATTATGATGTGAGGTGTGGGAGGGTTATGTGTGCGTGTCAAGATTTACAACAAATGTATTTTTCTGAGAGACTTGTTAAAGTGGCTTTTGGGTTTCAAAGTTGATATTTCTTAAATCCACCCTTGATGCTTTTTTAAGTAGGCAGGGGACTTCTTAATGGGTGCTCACACAGAGGTATGGGTTTTTGTCTAACAGCCTAAACAGAGCTTTAGGAATTATTCGGGTTATCATCTATTTACCAAATACAATGACTTTATTTTGAAAATTCTTCGAATGTTCAAGAAGTTGATCTTAGCTCAGTTTTATGGTCCTATGCATAATCATTGTTCTTGCACTCTTGTCTTTCTCATTTTCATCATTAAGTCCTACCCTTGCCTCCCTTTTTATAATGGTTCTGCTATTCCCTAGATTTGAACACAACGTGTATGTTTTAAATAAGAAATTGCTCAAAATTTCTGATTAGAGGAGGCTCCCTGTTACAAATCCAATGGAGAGAACACCTTTAGTTAACAACTGACGCCAAATTCTGTTAGATTAACTGTTACAACGTTGTGACTGCTGATAATCATACCCGTTAGTCCGGTAGGAGTCTACGATGGTTAATGAAATACGGGCTATGATAATCTATGTCTAAATCACTGGGTACTTCTGGAAGCTGAGAATAGACTTTGAATAGCTTTAGAAAGTTAAGTAGCTCCTTTATCTGATAAATATTTGCTTCCACCAGTGAGCACTGGCAAGTTTTAAAATAGTTGACAGTTTGATGTACATCAGTAGTTGATCTAACTGATGTGTGAATTTCTGGAGGTTAGAAACAGCTTTGCTTTAAAGATCAGTGGTGCAGTGAGTTCTTTTATTTTGAAGGTAGATTCGTTTGGGATAAATCTCAGTTAACTTGGAAGTTACAGTTCCATGAAAACATCCACGGCGCAAGTGCAGAGGAGTCTCCGGTGAAACGCTGGATCTTTTTTCTAGCACTAATCTCAACATCATTGTGATAACGGACAGGGGTGGATATGAAACTTTTTGTTTTCTAGGTAGCAATTTTAGTACTGTGGTTTTTTAATCATGATCCTTCATAAAGCTCTAGACCTTTAAAGCTGCAAGATGTATTCCTCGGTGGAATACAAGCAAAGATTGCCCTCTAGAGGACACTCTGGGGGTTGTTTGTTTTTTTTAATGTACAGTTATGGGAGGGAGGGTTATTTACTCCTCCTGCGCTCATCTTCATTTTCTGTTTTGACACCGGATGTGTTCTAGGAGGATGAAATCCCAGGGGAAAAAAAGTACCAAAATATCCTGTATTCTGTCCATCACTTGATCTATCTCCACACATCACATTGTTTTTACTTTGTATCCTATAGACCAGTAAAAAACAGCACAGAAACTAGAGAAACAGTTGGACTGTATCTCCCTGTATTACAACCAAACCGGTATGCTTAACCCGGTTAATTGCCACCCCATGATTAAGTGGCCAAGAAGTTCACTGAAAGACCTGCTCCACCACCTTCACTACTTTCATTCCTGTGTAACTTCCCTATATTTGTGTTGTAACATAAAATTGTTTCTCTTGTTTTGCTGTGCTACCTGTAAATTTGACTCATACCTTGGTTTCCAGCACAGTTTTACCTGACATTTATTGATGCTTTGAAGTTATCAAAGAGCTAGTGTGGCACAGCTGATGATCAAAAATAGGACGAAGATATACACAATTGTCAGGTACAGACATCCATGAAGAAAACAGGTAAATACAGCAAAACTTTATTAAATATACCTTCCAGTTCACAAACATCCACTGTACTATTGAATGTCTAAGAAATTTGACTGTACGACAGGTGCAAAAGGTTCACAGTCAACTCAAGCTTACTTGCAGTTTTACCTGCTGCTCAGTTGTACTTGCTACTGCCATTTGGTACGCATAGGATCACTAGAACTGGAAAGTTCAAGAACCTTTCCTGAACCATTAGTTTCTTGCTGTGGATCTGAGCACAGTATCCCAAATAAACTTCTGCTTTTCATTGTAGGCTCAGGAAGAACAAATTCTGCCAAGCTCTTAATTTTCTTACTCATTCTGCAAACTTCGTTGTATATATATTTCTTTTGTTTGCCTATACTTACTTTTTTTACCAGTGGGGGGATAGAACAGTTTACAAAATGAGAAAACTGCATGTGTGTAGCCCCATCTTTAGCATCTGTGATTATTCTAGGAACTGACTAAATACAGAGAAATCATCAAAGAATGGCCTTTCTGGGGTCTGCTGTCTTTCTGTGGGGATGCTGTGTCATGTCGCATGCTGCAACTGCAGCTCTAATGCTCCATTTCACGTTACATGGTCTCTTCTGAAGGTTTGCACAAGTGCTGGGGTTTTTTTTTACTTCCAGTCATATTTTTTTATCCTGCTTGATCATGTAGCAAAGCCATGATCTTTCTTTGTTATTTGCTGTTTGTCCCTTGCCACAGATAACAGAAGTAGTGTCACATATTGATCAATAATTTTAAACAGGATCAGGGAGGAAGAGTTCCTGGCAGGGCAAAAAGCTTGATTAAATTAACTCCATAGTCTAGTAATTTTGGCAAGACAAGTCAACAGTTAAAGGTTTTATATGAAGTGAAAAAATTTTAAAAGTCCTTTCAAGTATCCCACTGAGTACATGTATATAGTTGTCTACCCCAGCTTCTTCCTTTGTAGTTGCTAGATTTAAAAAAGTAACAATTCAAGAAACATTAAAAAACTCCCACAAAATGTTATAAAGCATACTGCAGAATTAATTTGACAATAATCATATTGTATGTAAGTTATAATTTATTTTTCTGTATCAGGGTGGGGAAAATAGGGAAGTGAAAATTGTGTGGTAACGTGCAGGATGTTTTCATTGTTGAATTCCACGTAATCAGGTTTCACAACAAATCATGGTACAATTGTAACTGTTACTTGGTTTTAATATACCTTGAGCTCTTAGCCTCGTTTTACAGTGAAGGACTAGAAGGTTCAGATATGAAACGGATCTTAGAATGGTTTTATCAAACAGCTGAATATCAAGCTTACTTGACTTGCATATCACTTTCCTTTTTATTCAGTGCAAGTAATAGCTTCTACATTTTAGAAAGTCCTTCAGCATGGCCATTTTAATTCAGGCAATGTGAAATTCTGCTACAATCATCTTGACTGTAAAAGCTACCTGTGTCTACACTAAAACAAGAGTTCTCCAAATCTGAGTTCGTGTTCTTCATCCAGAGATGGGATTGTTCAGCAATTTAGTCAAGCTATTACATTCTAATTGCACCTGTTTGTCGGCAAAATCAATCTTTGCTGACAGCTTTATGCCACGTACAGACAAAGCCACTGCCTAGCTCTTAAGAGCCTTTTCAGCGTTGCTTCTTACAACCAAAAGCTGTCTGGCCTGAATATGAATCTGCATCTTTAAAACTGTCCATATGAGCTGGCATATTGAAAATAAGATGTAATCTATACAGCCACTTCATTAGAAAAGGTAATCGTAAATCTGAATTTTACCACACTGAAAGAGTAGTTTTAGCTATATATTTTGAGTTCTTCTTCTACACACTGTGAAAAAAGGTTAACCACTTGGTTAGTGTCAAGACATCCGTTTTGCAGGATTGATTCCATTTCACTTATCTTCTGTTTCTCCAACTCCTGCATCTCTTTCAGCATCTCTTTACCTTTGCCCTGCAAAAAGAAACGTCTGTGTTTCACTAAAAACTATACAGAGTACGTAGTGTTCACCCTAACAAAATTCTGTTCTGCTGTCCTTATTTTAACCTCTTAATAGTTTCTAGGGTACGAGTTTGTGTTGGTAGAAGTTAGCTCCATGACAGGTTTTCTTGGGTATCTTTCCTAATATCTAGCACTCACTTTATCTCCCTATATCCTTGTCTGATGGATTGAAAATAAACAAACAAAATTAAAGCTGCTCTAGGTATTATGCTACCAAAACTTAGTGGGCATATGTCTTATTTTTAAGAACATGTATCTATAAATACATAAATAGGAGAGACGTGATAGTCAAAAGCAACTCCCTCCCTGCTTCACCTTTGTGTCCAGCTCTCTCTGTGATCTTATTTCCTCTCCTGTCTGCACCAAGCAATGAGGGAAGGCATGCCCTCCGTACTGCCCGAGACCAGGCTGCTGGAGGGTTTTAAGTACTCGTATCAGGAGCTATATATTTGCCGGTGACTGCTCAAGCGCTTCCCCGTTATCTGACTAGTGCAGGGGGATGTGTGGCCGGCTTCTTTGCAAGACAGGCAGTACTGATACTCGTCTGGGGCTAGGCCTGGGCGTACAGTAAAGTGCTAGTTGCAATTTTTAGCGTTTGAAACCTGTGCCTGCCAGATGCCAAGATGATGGGCTTCTGGGACACTACAGTGTTCTTCACAATCCATCAAAGGGCATTAAAAGGTACCACATCAACAAAATGTGAGCAAGGAGCTTGTATAAACCACCTGCTTGCACTGAAATCTAATTTAATCAACGTACCTTGACGGTTTCCATAACTACAGCAGCACTTTCATGTTTTTTATAGAGCTCATGTCTTCGATCTGGCTTACTCTGAAAACGTGGTTGCTTCTTAACTGGATCATCATTACCAAATGTAGGGGATCTAGTTTTTGATAACTGAGTCACATTGGGCACAAAAATGAAAGGCTTGAATACAGACCTAGAAAGACAAAATAGAACAGTGACCCTTTACTGATACAGTTTTGTTAAAATTGTTGAGCCAGTAGATTGCTGTATTTTCCCCCATTCTTCTAATTCCTTATTTTAAGAAAGAATTCTTCAAAAAAAAAAAATCTCCTAACTGATGTTTAAGTCAGTGTCATAGCAGCGTTTCACTAGGTGGGCTGGTAGATGGCATTAATATACGTCATGTACATTATGTTCCTCCTCCTACTTCTTGATTGTGGTTTTTTTTTGGGGGGGCACAAAAAAAAAACCTAAAGCAGAAAGAAATATAATTAGACAAATTGCAACTTTTCATTTAGATATTTGCAACTTTTTAGCATAATTACTCGCTGTTACATCACCTCGCAGGATCTGGAGTTCCGGTAAAGAAGTGAATACACGGCAGATCAGCTTGCTGAGGCAATACAGACACCATGCTTCCAGTTGTCATAAATCCACCTTCCATGTTAATGCCACTCTCTTTGTCACGAAGAATTTCCATCATTATTTCAGAAGTGATAGATCCTATTTAAGATATAAAACAATTATTTGCACACAGTGCTACTTGTAATACCAACCAAATGGCGTCTTCTCTACAAATGGGTGACTTTTCCTATAAGAGGCAATGCCAATTTTAGTTTGTCTGTGTTCGTAGGAAAAAAATAATCATCCTCACAGCAAACCTTATTATGTAGCACACTTAAAAATATTATTGTTTACCCAAAGTATTTATTTCAAAGCGTAGGTGATAAAAGACCTGTAACATTTATGACTTAGAAAAGGGGGAGGACGACAACGCATGATGTTTCCCAGAAACGTAAAATACATATGACTAGCAAATGGTTGTTCACACAGTAACTTTTCAGAGGAAAACCAGTAGCTTGGATTGAGGGCTGAACTTTCTGAGCACTGTGTGAAAGAGAAGATAAATCACTGTCATAGTTATTGGTATTAGTACATAGTTAAGAACACTTGGTTCCTTTGGAAATGTAAAAATAATAACAACTGTGCATGGATTTTGTGTGTAACTTCTGCAAATGGACTGCCAAGACTGTCACTTTTTATTTTTTTATTTTAATCATCTGACCTTCCAAACCACTTGGGCCTCAGGTTGACAACTGAAAGGACGCACTGGAGTAACAACACGTTCTATACTCAGAATCAACACAAACTACAATAGTACATCCATTTGTAACGAAGTCTTCATCAACTACCTCTGTGACCTATAGTGCCAAACATCTATGAAAATAACTCTCCTCAGTTAGGTGGAAAAAAAAGCCTTTCCACGTATGCGTCTGCATCTAGTGTTCAAATGATGTTGCTGTTCGCGCAGTGTATGCTGCAGCTTAAATACTGGCATGGTAGCACGAGGCAATCCAGTATGCCAACAGGCAGCACTTGCAGTAGTTTTCAAATTTTATGTACCAGTTGAACGTGTGCTCATGGCAGAAAAACAGTTCATTTACTATTTTTTTTTTTCCTACTTGAAGGTATCATCTACCATCTAATCTTTTAGTGTTTCCCTCTGTGAATTTCTAGCTGCATAAAGATTTTTTTTTAAACTGCCTTGCTGTTTCCTCTTAAAATAATCACTCTGCTGCTAATTCAGATGTCTCTAGTATTATTTTTTATACACAATTCAAATTGCCCGTAGACAGGCATGCAGCACTACATTTCAGCAATGAAACACCTTTAGGTATTCCCACAGTCGCCTAGGAAAGTCAGAGAATTCAAGAAATCAACAAGCCAGATGAATCAAAGAAATTGAAAGAAGCAACCGTCCGTTGGCAAGTTGTCCAGCAGGAAAGAAGGTACTGCATATTTTCCACTAGACTTCTTTATTATTCTGTATTCCTGAAATACATCCCCTGTTTTTTGAAATATAAATAATGTTTATCTAAAAATGGTCTTCACGTGGTAGGCATCCACGGAAAAAACCTGTAATGCCACCGAGTGAAAAAGCTGGGAAGGGTAGATGAGGAAACTAGTGATTTTACTGATAGTGTAAACCAAATAGCTTTTAGTTGGGGCACCTATTTAAAATAAATGTAAACAAACTGGAACCATATGAGGCTGATAACCTGAACACCTAGTGTGATTTTTAAAATGGCTCAGGTAAATGCTTGAAAATGGGGATTTAGAATGAAAACACTGATAGAATCTCAGCATTGCTGTAATTCAAGTAAATACAGGTATTATGAAAATGCTGTCAGTATTCAGAACCTGCAATTCCCAAAATGAATGCAGGATTTACACGATCACCAGAGCAGGACAGCAAAAGGTAATTCATTCTGATGCATTAACTAAATGCTAAACCTGGTCTGGCGGAGCTCAGCCAAATAAATAAAAAAACACAGGGGTGCAATGTAATTTGGCTCAGATTCATTGCTTCAAATGAGCAAGTGAATAGAGATGCAGCAAAAACCTGCCAGGTGGATGCAGTTACAAGAGAAGTAATAGCTTTGTTCTATAGAAATCTGAAAAATAAGTGAATAAGTGATTAGGAGCACCTGCTTAGAGTACAGAAAATTATTTTATTCTCTCAGCGTGTTTTATTGACTACACAAGGTTAGAGAAGCAGTTGTAGTGAAACTACAAAGATTTAAAAACCAATTTCAAAAAACAAATCCAATATATGTATCTGAACACTGTGCTCTTGTCTTAGGCCTACATGAATGGCATCAGACTGAGGTTGTTCGTAAGGTTCTGTTTGTGGCTGCAAACCACTGGGAGTCTGTTTTAGCCTCTGGTGGTTTTTTTTTTCCTTAGGGGTACAGTAATAATATATAGCAAATCAAAATGTTTCAGAACTAGGTCTTACAGAGTATTTAGCAGTATGCTTGTAATGTGACCTCTCAGTGTTGTTACTGTATCTGTGTGTGTTTGATATTTGACCCTTGTTTTCATTTTTCCTCATCAACAAATTGGCAAAAATGGAGAGAAGACCTCAAGTTCAGCATTTCTCCTTCAGGCAGAAAGTTATTCTAGTAAGTTCTGGTTCAACAAATCATGTGAATGATCGCCCACATCACACATCTAATCATTTATGATTTAATGTAGCTCACTAAATGTTTTGCATATCTTAATGATCAGAACGATACCTTTGTGTTTGTTCAGAAGTTTATAGCCTTCACAATATCGGCCTCTGGATGTGGTCATTCTGGCGGTATTTACGTAAGAATATGCGGCAGCGAAATCAAATTCCTTTTCCCCGTCCCACCAGCCCTTGCTTTTGGCATATTCCCTCAATTCCGGGTGTTCTCTGTCAATCTTGGTTGTGATAGAGAGCTGGTTGGAAATATTCCGTACGCCTCCTGTTTGTAAGGTGAGGAAAGAATCCTTTTAATATATCGAATGTTTTTTCTTGGTATTTTGTTTACAGTTAGCTTGCTAAAGCAAATTATTCACTAAAGAGTTTCCTACAAGATCTGTGAGTCCTGTGGTTAATTTTTGGCCCTCTCTCCCTGGCTGTACGTGTCCTTCTGATTGAGATTCCACTGCCACTCAGTTCTGACCATTTACTTCGATTGCCAACATCCTGTTTCAGGTTCTGTCCTGATTATTCCCATCTTTGCATTCTTCCTCTTAGACCTACAGAGACATAGTTTGTCCTTCTAAGTCCACTGGAGGAGTCGGCCACTTCAGGCTCACTGCACTAATCCTGTCAGTTTTACCCTGTCACCAGATGAAATCGTCACCGACTGCCACCATCCTTAAGACCACATGTGCTGCTGTCACTCTCACGCTGACCTTGTGGCTGTCCTCTGTTCTCCAAGTGCAGATGTGGCCACCCCTGACTCTGAAAAGGCCCCCTGTCACTCGGCTCCTCTCTGAAACCGCTAGCCTCTCCACACCGATGCCCTGGGAAGCAACTCCTGTTGTCTACGGGTACATATCTGGAGGCTGGTCTGACGCCTTAATGAAATGGTAAATGAAAAGTGGAGAACTGCTAATTGTTGTTGCATTTGAACTGTTTAAAGCGAAGGGCATCACCCATACCTTCTACTTTTTCTGCTGCCCAGTATTTTCCTGATGTCTCCAGCACCCATGCTTCCTTTCTGTCGGCTATCAGAAAACTGTTATGGTATGTAAATGCCATGGGGCTCTCCATACAGTTTCCTCCCTGTCCATATTTTTCTAGCAAATCCACTATGACGGTAAGAGCCTTTCCAGCTGTGTCTGCTCTCTCGAGTCCAAGCCTAAAACAAAAGGAAGACGTTATTGTTGGAACTATAAACTTTACATACTACTATTCAGCCCGAGTATTCAAATTTAACTGGAATGCTATTTCTAGATGTACCTGATGCGTGAATGATCTGGTAAGAGAGGGACAAGTCACTTAAAGGGCTTGTTTGAAGTAGGTCCTGTATGTCCTTGACATGGGGAAAAACACCAAATGGAAATGCAGCAGGGCAGGGAGAGGGCTCCTAGGAAACGCCTGCGAGTCCTGGGTGGGTATTGGACAGGGGGGAAACGGTACCGAGAAGAAGTGACTGCTGTAGGTTAACAGGAGGGACACAGGCACCCAGCAAGGCAGGCTGTAAGGACATGGATGTGTTGGAGCAGGTCCAGAGGAGGGCCACAAAGATGATCAAAGGGCTGGAGCACGTCTCCTAGGACAGGCTGAGGGAGTCGGGGCTGTTCAGCCTGGAGAAGAGAAGGCTCCAGGGAGACCTTATAGCAGCCTTCCAGTACCTGAAGGGGCCTACAGGAAGGATGGAGGGGGGCTTTTCACAAGGGTGTGCAGTGATAGGACAGGGGGGAACAGCTGTAAACTAAAAGAGGGCAGATTTAGATCAGATATTAGGAAGAGATTCTTCACCATGAGGGTGGTGAGGCCCTGGCACAGGTTGCCCAGAGAAGCTGTGGCTGCCCCCTCCCTGGCAGTGTTCAAGGCCAGGTTGAATGGAGCTCTGAGCAACCTGGTCTGGTGGAAGATGTCCCTGCTCATGGCAGGGGGGTTGGAACCAGATGATCTTTAAGGTCCCTTCCAACCCAAACCATTCTATGATTCTATGATTTATGTGGAGATGCACGGCTGAGACATACATATGTGTTCTTCACTCTGTGGGTGACGGAGCCCTGGAACAGGCTGCCCAGAGGGGCTGTGGGGTTTCCTGTTCTGGAGATGTTCAACCCCTGCCTGGACGCGGTCCTGTGCAGCCTGCTCCGGGTGACCCTGCTTCGGCAGGGGATGGACTAGAGGATCCCCAGAGGTGCCTCCCAACCCCTGCCATGCTGTGTGAAAGCCAGGGGAAATGGGAACCGAGAACAGCCGCTCGCCACGGGCCCAGGCACTGCAGTCCAGCTGCGCTCCAGTCTGGAGTCTGGTGTCAGTTTAGTCTGCACTTTGAAGAGGGCAAACCACTCGATGGTCTCCTTGACAGGTCCCGTCCCGGCGCTCCCACAGGCTCCCGGCAGAGCCCCGCCGCC